ATGCACAGCCATGTTTTATTTCTTGAGCTGGGTGTTGCTACCATGAGTTATTTGCTCTTAGAAAATTAACCAAGATAAATAAACACATAATCTGTGTGCTTTTCTGTAGGAATGTTAACCTTTAATACAAAATTTACTTTAAAACTCAGGAACTAATATAATCAACAGCAACCACAAGGCCAACACCATTAACATGTCTAAGGATGAACAGCTTAGCATTGAAGCCTATGAAGTAATTCCGGACTCTCAGGTGTTAGTGACTGAGAATCTGGACTCATTTCAAGTTTGGGACCATAAATCTCAGAAGGCTCTCAACACAGCCAGATAACCCCACTATACTTCCTTACTGTATGCACGTTACCCCTGAGATGACTTATTAACACCTTCCCTTCTCTCCTCACATTGCCAATACCTTCTCAGCTGATGACCTCATCACATACTTCACAGGAAAAACAATGTCATTTTTACACAGAAGGAAAAACACTGCAGCCTATTTCTATCAGCCTCTCCTCCAATATCCGCCATCTTCCTCAGGCCCCAAGGATGAAATGGTTCTCATCTTAACCCATCACCTCCTCAAGGACTTTCTCCATTATCTAATTCTCTACCCCAGCAACATCAATTTTCTCTTCTGCATGAAATCCAAACAGGTCTAAAATATCAATACATTTAAAGAATATCGCCCATGATTCTATATTTCTCTTCAACCACCATTTCTTTTTTTAACTTCTCCACTTCCCTTCAGAGCAAAATTCCTTGTAAGAGTTATCTCTCATTGCTATATCATTTTTTGACTATTCCTATTCTTTTGGTTTCTTGCCAGTCCTGGGGCTTGAACTCGGGGCCTGGGCACTGTCCCTATGGTTTTGTCTTTTTGTTCTCCAGGCAATCATTCTACCACTTGAGCCACAGCCCCACTTCTAGCATTTGCTAAATAGTTTACTGGAGATAAGAGTCTCATGGACTTTCCTGCTTGGGCTGGATTTGAACTGTGATCCTCAGATCTCAGCCTCCCAAGTAGCCAGAAATATAGATCCACCAGTTCCTGGCTCTTGTTCTTTTTTATTTAGCGTTTATTTTCATCCCACTACTGAAATGGCCCGTATCATGGCAACTGATTACAGGTTACAAAACTCAGTGGGTTCCTTTCTTCTCCGTGTTTATTGTACACTGAGAAGACGACTTCTCCCTGATCTTTTTCTTTATTTTTTTGTAGTGCTGGGGTTCAAACCCAAGGTCTCATACATGTTAAGAAAGTGCTCTGCTATTACAATAACTTTAAGTCCTCCCTGATTCTTTTAAATGCCTCCTTATTCTAGTATAACATATGGTGTTTATGGCCCTTTACATTTTTTTCCCTTTATATTTTTTTAAAAAATCTTTTTACTGGGAATGGAACCCACAGCCTTATACATGCCAGACAAGCACTCTACCACTGGGCTACGTGCCCAGTCCTCTCGCTAAGTAACCCAGGTTGGCCTCAAACTCAAGATCCTCCCACCTCTGCCTCCTGAGTACTGGGATTACAGATGTGCACCCACCCAGCTTTTTGGCTGTTCTTTCTCAGCCTTTCTCTTCTATGTGATTTCAAAGCTGACTCCATTAGACCAGTCCTAGCCTCATTTCCCTTGCTATCTGCACTGCCCTTATCTCCAGGGCTTCACATACCATCTCTATCTTTATTTCACACAAAGGCTCCAGCTGCCTCCCCGCTCTCCCATCTACATATCTGATTGCCTGAAGTCCATCAATCATTTTGACCTTAACTGGGCTGGAATAGAACTAGTCTATCCTCTTCATTATAAAATATCTATTCTTCCACTAGCTATCCATATTTCTGTAAATAGCATCAGCTCCTAGAAATTATTTAAGCCATTCAGATTTACTTTTATTTATTTATTTATTTATTTACTCTCATACCTTGTACCTTATCCAATAAGTAAATATTGTCCATTCTATTTCCAAGATGGATTCAGAAATCTAACCAACATGCTCTATCTCTGTAGTTACATCCCTAGTTCTAGTCACTCAGACAAGTTCCACTGTATGACCATTCTACCGGCTTTCATACTTGCCTCCAGAATGACTTCGCTAGAGTCAACATCAGACAGTATCATCCATCCATTCCTGCAAAAAGCCACACACACACACACACACACACACACACACACACACACACACCAGCAAGTCTCTGTGCAACAGGAAGCAGCTCTATGAGGATGGAACAGCACCACACAGACTGGTAGGGCATGGTGATTTGAGTAGAAAGGCTGTAGCAGGGGGAGGGGGCACAGATACCTAGATACCCTTAAAGGGAAATGAAAGGGAATGTCTCCCTTGGAAACTCCCATGGGTTTGAGCAGTCCTGAAAAGAGATATAGAATGTATTTGATTCCACTGGTGCCCCAGTCCTGATGTCCTGCACAGACAACCCTTGTAGACATTCTTTGTTGTGCACACCACAGGCTTTTTGCCTCTCTCTCTACCTGGCCCTATGTTCATACTGGCATCAGGCAGGCAGAAAGTCTAAGATGCCAGGGAATTCATGATCCAAGTGCTACTTTCCATCAGCAAGGGGTAGAAATTGGGGCAAATACAGTCCAGCTTCTTCATCCTTCAGTGGAAAATGCCTGAGGTAAGTGAACATAGGGTCCCAAGCTGGACTGAACTCCAACTATCTGCAGTGGTAACCAGCTCACACTAGGTATCCACTTTTCTCCCCACCCTAGCCTGTCTTAACTTCCCCACTCCCTCCTTGTGCTTCCTGGGATTTCCCCTCTCAAGCTATTTGCATGGAAATCCTTCTCTCACACTCTGCATTCTGGGAAACTCCAACTAAGACATATAATAATATTATGCTCTTGCTCTCAAAGGGAATGTCTTTGAAAGAATAGTGTTGTCCTAAATTGAAATGGATGAGATCCCAATACAAAAAAAATGGAGATAACACTTTATAAAATGTTTCAAAGCATTAGGAGATTTAAAGTCCCTCCCCATATACTATATTAGCCCTATTTTTATTTATATATCTATCTATATATATGTGAATTGGCTCTATACTCACCAACTGTATGTATACACTGATGGTAGACTAATGATTTGCCAACTGTATGCATATACTTATTATCTCAGCTAAACCATTCCTTTACACTCCCAATAGTAAAAAAAAAAAAAAAGGGACTTGAAAAGTCTGCTAAATTTGCCATCCATAACCGCCCACTGGTGACTCCCAGGGAACATATTCTGCTCTCCCACTGAGTGTCACTTGTGTGAAATCTGTTTAAGGAGAGTTGTGGTGAGAGTACATGCATGAGCATGCGAGCCCCCCCACACAGACACACACGCGCACACACACACACACACACACACACACACACAGAATGTATGCACCACTCAGCAGTCTGAAGAACTTCCCTCCAGTTCTTTTGGAGTGAACCCCACCATTCCCAGCAACCACACTCCCCAGATACCAGCACTGTTGAAAGTGAAGGGCTTGTCCTTGCTGTGTGGTTTGGAGTAAAAGGAGGCAGGATTAAAGCGCTCATTTCCAGTCTCAAAAGTAAAATACGACTTGGCCTACGGCAGTCCTAATTCTTTCCAGAACTCATCCTGGAATTGCCCTTTAAAACAACCAGTCATTAACCCAACTCCGGGTCTTTTATAGCTGCGAAAACCGATGATCGCGCACATCATTTATTCATTACACTTATTATTATTGTTATTGGAGAAAAGCTGAAGATTCCTGGTGCGGGGTTCAAAGGGGTTTCCAAGGGAAGCAGAGAAGGGAGGAGGAATGAGGAAGCAGGCAGGACCTCAAGAAGGCTGGGCTGGGGTGCGGGACAGAGGTGCTTGGAAATCCCCAGGGAAGGATGCCACCAAAGCTCCTTGGCCCGTGCTCCAAGGCCGCCACGCACAGGCGCAGCTGCAGCAGTAACATAGGGAGCTTCTTACATAAGACAGAGCAGCTGACATCACCTTTGCCTTGAGCATCACAGCCCAGCAACCTGTCCACGGTGGGTCACCCTGGTTGCTAATAAATAATTCTGTCTGCAGCCACATTTGGGGTGATCGTTCACCAGGGGACCCCTTCTGGGTGCTCCTTAGAGAGCCGCGAAGGACAGAATGATTGGTTATGTGGAGCTCTGGGGTTTTGCGAGTGAAATCAAGGGCTACAACAGTGACCAAGTGTCTTCTCATGCGTCTTCCCTCCCCTAGCAGGGACTAGTTCCCACCTAAGTCCACACGTGAAAATGCACTGGGACATTGGGACAGAGGGAGAACCTTCTGGCAAATTCTGGGAGGGCAGATGGCACAAAGAGCCATTTACTAAGAACCCCTAGGTTGTTCTAGGCAGAAAAGCTATCCAGTGGTTTTCTCCATCTGTACAAGTTCTAGCGCTTTCCTTTCCTCACCCCTCCCTGCGGCCCCTCAATCCTAGAGGAGCACAAGTGGGTGAAAGGCACAAGTTTTTTTTTTGGGGGGGGGGGACTCGAGGTGGTTTCTGAGGTTACAGCAAGAGTGAGAGACCCGCGGTGGTGCTGCAGATACCCTAAAAAACATCTACTACTCTTCCGGCCCACAAGCAGGCATGGGATGGGTTACAGGGTCTGAGGCTGCTGGAGATCCCAGGAGTCAGCTGCACCCTACTTTGTCCCCTACAAACTCTTGAAAGGGCGAGTCAGAAAAGTAAATAACAGACCCCCACTGCCTCCTGTTCTCCTATAAGTGCTCCCCGTTTCTGGCTGCTCTCAGCCCGAGGATATCTGGGAGTTCAAAGGCCGCCCTTTGAACTTTCTGCCTGCTGTATCTGCATCCCTGTATCCATCAGCCCTGCTACTCAGTCCCGGGAGGACCAGGTTGGCTCTCGGGCAGAAGTGGAAAGGGGAGAGTGAGGTGCAAGTTGAAGCAGGCGAGGTGCCACAGGATTGCAGCGACTAAGCGAGGGCGCGAGGGTGCGGCACAAGAGCCGAGCGCCCAGTAGGCACGGCGCTGGTACTCACGCACTGTCTCCTGCTTGGGGTCCAGGGTGCTGAGGACGCGTTGCACGCCACCCAGCTTGCCCTGCAGCGCCCAGACGCGGCGGTGGGTCAGCTGGATGTCGCTCTCGAGCTCCTGGAAGAGGCTGCACGCGTGCCTGGCCACGTCTGAGAGCTGCCGGAGGACGCGGGCCAGGGCAGCGTTGCTGACTGCGCACAGGTCTAGCATGAGCAACACAGCAGCCGCTGTAGCCGAGGACGCATCGCCAGTGGCGGATCCTGCCTCTGGGACCCCCGCCACGATTTCCTCGCCCACCTCGGGGTCTTCACTGGGGGGCGGCTGAGCCGGATCCGCCACCGCCGCCGCGGGAGAGGGCAGCGGCAGCAGAGGTGGTGGCATCCCGGGAAGCACAGGCGGCGCATGGGGAGGCTCCTCGGCCCCTGGTGCTTCGGCCTCCTCCCGTCGACCAGGCAGTTGCAGGGGCGGCGGCGGCGGCGGCGGCGGTGGTGGCGGCGGTGGTTCGATGCTACCTTCACTTGTGTCCTCATCTGGGCCAGGTGCCGGGCGCCGCTGTCGGCACAGCCACTGCGGCTCCACGATCCGCTTGGCGAAAGGCATCCCGCGCGGCAGCAGCGGGGCCCGCGACTTTCCGTTCTCTTCCAAACGCCCCTGCTGAACCGGGCACCGGGCGCGCCCACCTGAGCAAGGAGAGGGCGGGAGTCTGGCCAAGGCAAGGCGAGATCCACACAGTCCAGAGACACAGAGGGGGCTCCTCGGCTCACCTGGTCTCCTCCTCTTCCCCGCCCTCTCGCTAGCAAATGAATCCCCGCTGGTCCTCCTCTGGGTGGCGGGTTCCCAGGAGAGGATGACAAACGCCGCCCGGCACAAAATCCCGGGATGCGGCTGGGCTGTCCTCACGCGCTTCCAGCGGGGGTCGGCTGGCTCTGCTCCATGAGTCCTGCGCTCACAGTCACTGCTCAGGCCACTGCTGCCGCCGCCCGCCTATATAAATGTGTGTGTGTGTGTGTGTGTGTGTGTGTGCGTGCGTGTGTGTGTGTGTGTATGTGTGCGCGCGCGTGTGTATGGGTGGGTGGGTGTGAGTGTGTGTGCGCGCGCGCCTCAGTTTGAAAGTACCCCGGCGCAGGCCTCTCCCCGCGCGCCCCTCGGCCGGCCGCTCCGGGGAGCGATTGCGCCTGGGAGCTCTCTCTCTCTCTCTCTCTCGCTTTCCGGGCGGGGAGGAGGTTTCAGAGAGGCATTCGGAAAACCCGGAGACAGGAATCCGCCTCCAGCCCTGGCTCAGGAGGCGGCGCGGGGGCGGGGGCGGGGCGGACGCAGGGCGGGGGGAGGCCAGGGCGAGAGGGGCGCAGCGCCCTATGCGGCCGCTGGGAGTCACTGGTGGCCTCATCGGGGCCCCCCGGACGTGTTGTGGCGCAAAGACACTTCCTCGCTTCCAGGGGTTAGACTTGAAACTCTTATGTATGGTGGGGGTGGGGAGTCGTCAAGTTGGGAGTGGGGGTGTTAGTAGTAAGCGCCGGGGGAAGAGGGTTGGGTATTAGGGATGCCATCGATGGAGCATGTTGGAGCAAGTTACGTTGTGGGTTTCCGACTTGGTGCAAGTCCCTTTGATTCCTAGAGGCTGCATGTCCGAATGAGCACCAAGAGAGGTGAGCCTCGCATGGACGCATCCAAGTGTGGCCCAAGTGGGCTCAGTGTGGTTTAAACCCTTTCTCAAGCATTTCGTGGCACTCTGCGCTGGGCGTGGTCTCACTCTCCAAATTCATGAATGAGACCCAAACTACCAATGAGTAACACCCCCTCACCCCACAAAGCTGCCTGCAAAACTCACTGCACATTGTATGGGATGAATCGCATTAACTCCTTGTCACCCTACTGTGTTAATCCAACACAGAGTTTTGAAAGTTCTCCATCAGAGAGATGATGATTCACAGAAGAATGGAAAGTTTTCCCTTCAGTTAACTGAAAGGTATAATTTCTTAACAGGCACACATTTTTCAATTGGAGCAGTCTACAGGCTGAATGCTGGCAGCCGAAACCCTAAAAAGAGTTTGGGAAATGTTAGTAAAATACATGCTTTCATTCCCCCCTTCCCCCAAAAAAATGTATGCTGAAAAAAAATTTTTTTTTTAAATTTTAAAGCCACAACCAGATCTTGGGAATGCAGCCTTCATTTCGTGTGTCTGAAAAGAACATGGAAAAAAATATGTTTTATGGCATCAATAAAGTCCTGCAGACCTGTGGTGGTGTCTTCTTTGCTCTTTGGCTGGAAACAGGGCAGGTCCAACAGTCAGCACTAACAACTGACACACACTTTGATTATAAAGGCTTCAACAAGACCTTCTCTTATTCTACCAAAACAAGATTTTTGGCAAAGGGATATTCTTATTCCTAAAGGATCAGAGCTGGTGCTTTGGACGTAAAGGGTTATGGTGTCTCTAAGTTACACACAAATGATCAGCAACAAGAATGATGATGGTAATAGTAAAGTGAGAGGGAGGGAGGGAGAATGGATATCAAAAATAGTGAATCCGGGTAAGGAGCATTCAGGAGTGTGAAGTAAATTTCTTACAGTTTTACTTTGAATTTGGTTTTGTATTCAAAATTAAGTCCAAGAAAGAGGGTATTTCTATACACTCTTTTTACCTTTGGTTCTTTGACCGCAGAGATTGGGAAAGCTGGCTGGTTTTAGGTTCACATTTTTTGTATGTGTATGACATTGAAGATTAAACCCAAGACCTTGAGATTAAGAATTCTTACCACTTGAGCCCCAGTCAATTTGCTTTTTGGTTCTTTTTCCAGACAGAATATCCTGCTTGCTTTGCCCTGGCTTCAAATTGTGATTCTCTTATCTCCTCCTCCTGAGCAGCTAGGATTGCAAAGCTACACTCCCATGACCCTCTCTTACATTTTTTCCCACCCTTACTTTTCAACGTGTTTAAAATTCTGAGCCCAAGCTCTGCTAGGTAGGCACATCAGATGCTCTTCCCAAACACACTGAAGCATAAAGAACAATGGAAGAACGTGCAAGGCGTTCAGTTAACAGGCATTATGGCAAAAGTCTGCCCTGCCTCCAATTGCATTGCATCCAGCACTGTCCTATTTACAACATCCATGGGACCCAGCAGAGTTGGCCCAGTTACACCTGGACATGGGCAGTGAATGAATGGTGTGTAGCTCTCACTTCTAAATGGAGTTTTACATTATTGGCAAGTTTCTCCAGTATCAGAGAAGCCATTGTAAGTAAAGAGCAAAGGTCCAGGAGAGGGAAGATTCAAGGGGGATATTTAAGTTGAAGAAAAGGCTAGCTACTTCGGTGTCTGCTCTAAAGTGACCAGCACAGATTAAGATTACAAAATGACTCAAAGTACTGTTCAGTGATGCAGAAAGGAAAACTCTGTAATCTCCTAGACTCCTACTCATGTGCTAATAATGTCATTTAGTTAAAAATAAAAGGCTTTGATATTGCCTTTGATCTCCTTGGTTCTTACTGTTCCTTTTTCTTCCTTTGGTGGTCCCTAGTGACCTCTCTGAGACTGCATCCTTCTAAGCCACTAATACAAATGATCAGATTCACTGATATGGTTTGGTAGTGTATTCTACTTCCTCTGAAAGATGCAAATAAAGCCATCCTTAGAAAACTGGGTTATTGTTATACTTTCGTAACATCATCTAAGTAAAAAATAAAAAAAAAAAAAGTGTGCTAGCTGTGAGAGGGCAGGTTGACGACATCTTCCTGGTCCCACCCCTCCGAATTCAAGCCCCTTCTTTGTAGTTCCCTTCTCCCCTCCTCCCAGTTTTGGGTTGGATTTCTGCCCTATTGAATTAAAATATTGAAAAAAGATTAAAAGGTGGCAACTATTTGACATTCCAATGAGAATTACCTGTAGTCTTAATGCTTCTGAGTTTTCAACACACCAAGGCTGTGTCTTTTTCATTCAAGTCCTAGATTGAACCATTTTACTCTGAGTCTTACCACAGAAAGCTTTGATGAAGTCAAGGTTCCTATCTGCAGCCACACTGTTATTCCTAGTTACATGTGCGAGTATGCGGTTATCAAAATATCTCTTATACACACGCTCACATGGAGTCCACTCTTCATACATACATTTACTTATCATGGCTTGAGAGCAAAATGGAAAGAAAAATAGCATGTTAGAATGTCTAATCCCTAGCAGTCATTCACGCAGTTCAAAGGCCAGCACAATTTCCTCAGAAATCCAAATGTGCTGTCAGTATAAATCCCTTGGCACTGTAAAACAAACAAAATATCCTATCTGTGGCACCATACCTACCCCACAGTTTCTCTTCAGCCCTCTCCAACCCAGTAGGAAGTAGAGCTTTGTTAAATGATAGAGGTGGCCTGGCTAGCCACATGCTTCCACACAACCATAGTCAATTGTCCTCTAGAACAACAGAAAGTAGCGAGGTAGAGATTTTTAAAGGACTCTTCAAAATGTTCTGATTTGATGTCCCAGTATTGAGATAGCACCAGCATTATTTATATTTGAAAGACATTCCTCTTGCCTAAGAAATACCAAAAGATGCATGTGCATGATCATAAACAACAGTGGAAGAGTACGCAATGCACTCAGCAAGATTAGTTATAGTGACTGGTCTCCCATCCCCCACCCAATTAATTCTACCTATTCTTCACATAATCACTGTAATTCATGCCTAAAAGCCCCACTGCTAAGTAAAAATACTGCTTTTTTTTTTTTTTAGGTCCAAGACCAAGACCAAAACTCAAACTTAGTAGCTGACACTTTTGCTCATTGACTGGCACTCTACCAATGAGCCACACCTCCACCCCCCAAAAAATATTGTTAAATCACAAAACATTTCCTTTAATTTTATGGGAAAAATTATGACAATTCCATAGAAATAAAAACATACCAAATTTATAAGTAAACCTCAGCTGTCTGGTACTAAGTGAACACAGTTGTACATAAAATGCAATGTTACCATATCTTGGGAAGGAAGAAGAGTAGATTTGAGAATGGGGGGCGGGAAGAGGAATGAATGAGAGGTAGTTATTCTTGGGGAATTGTTGGAGAGTCATGTGATTCACATCGAAGCAGAAGACATTTTGGAGTTCAGATTTAACCTATAACTAAACTGCACTTACAAATAAAGCTACAGTACAAAAGATACCTTTTGGGAAAGAAGAGAGAACCTTAAAACAGATGGGAAGACCTCATATACATGAACTGCACAGCACCATTAAGCTCACAACTGAAATGTTAGCTGCTGAGCTGTGAGATCCACCAACTCTTTTACTCTGAGCTTTTTACTGGATGATAGGAGACAGCCAGAAGTCTCTGGAAGCCATGTTGTCTAGGAAGTATGTGTTCTTTCTTACGTGTGAGTTATAGTATAAATATCATGTCCCTAGCTGGGCATCTGTGGCTTGCTCACCCCTATTTAGCTATTCAGCTATTCAGCTATTCACAGCTATTCAGGAGGCTGAGAGCTGATGATCATGGTTCAAAATCAGTCCGGACAGAAAAGTCCCCATGAGACTCTTATCTCCAATTAATGACTTAAAAACCAGTGGTGCTATGGCTCAAGTGGTAGAGCAATAGCCTTGAGCACAAAGAGGCTTAGGGACAGTACCCAGGCCCTGAGTTCAAGCCCCAGTACCTGCTCTCTCTCTCTCTCTCTCTCTCACTCACACACACACACACACACACACACACACACA